ATATAGTTCAAAAAAGAGATTGAAGGGGGCGAGGAGAGAGAACAGCTTAACTTACCCCCAAATACTCCCCAAAACAGATTTTACCCAGGGTTTGGCCAAATTTTCCGAAAGTTGCAGGGGCGAGGATGTGCAGTGGCCGAGCGTGGATGCAGTGCGCATCAAAGCGCATGTCCAACAGAGCCGCCCAAGAACTCTGGAGACTCGTCCGGTCAACAGCCTTTAAATACTCTGTCCTCCCAGCAGTCAATATGTCTGTTGAGGTGGTGTAAGTTTAGTTTCACTTTTAAGTGTAAGCACTTCCTGGCAAAGCACATGATACAATCGCCGTTCACGGTTTTCAAGGAAACTGTATCACGTGCATACTTTTCTCTAGTCAGTTCGTGCCAGGCCACACTGTTTGTTTTCAACTGTCTTATTGTGTCTGAGACCACCTTTCACGGACGATGTATGCATCCTTTTTTACGGTGACCCTATCGGATCGTCTTACTGAGATGTTTCTATTATCTACATCCATTTTTAATCTGTTCAAAAAGCTGCAGTTTGACAGGGGCGTGAAGTTGAAAGGAATGGAAAACATGTGAATGGAGTTTTACAAACACATATAATGATATCAAGGGTGCGTTAAGGAACGAGTAAACATAGTTTATCTTACCGTTTGTTATATTGACAAAGCCCTTTGGACTAGCTCTGACTTCAGTCTTGTTCTAGTCCATGTTTGAGACGTCGCTTTGGAGCAATTAGTGCTGAGCCAGAAACAGAAATTGCCTCACTGGAGTCTTTTTTTTCCCGTTAACATTCACATTGGAGGACTTGCGTTCTGGAGGTACCGCAAAGCCACTGTGTGCAATATATCGCAACCCCTCGTCACAACCTGAGCACAGCACTGCCAGCAGTCATGTGCTCACGTGTACGTTGCATAGAAGTTACAAGAAACATCGGTGGAAGGGCTTCAACACGTTCGCGAGCAAAGGCTGCCCCGTCTCTTTCGGCGCTACTTTTCAAAACAAAAAGTTGGACAAGTGCTTTGACATGGCCTTTCTTGCGCTCTTCACTCACATGCTCCTGTCAGGGGTGTAGTTTCTTATTCAGTTGGGCAGGTTGGCTTATCCTTTCTCCAAACTTCTGTTCCACTCCCCACAAGTTTGAGAACAGAGTGGCCCAAATTCGGAGAGTTTTGTTCGTTGGTTTGTCTGTGTGTTCGTGTATCTCAGGTTTTGGGATAAGTTGAGAAATCTTTCGTTTTTCAGCTCGTCACCTAATTCATTTTGCGAAACTTCGTCGCTGTGCTTTGACGTTTCCCAGTTTGAAAGCCGGCGATTATTTTCCTCATGTATTTCATCGATCGGACCTGCTGTTGACTTCTTACCATCGCGTATTCGAAAATCCACGTATAGTGCGGGAAATAGTAGAGCATTTGCACCACGCCAGTGGTGTGTTTTCATGCGGCATAATTAAATTGCTCGACATTTCAATCTGCACGAAACTCAGCGTATATTTGCTTCCAAGTCGCTAGATACTTTTTGAGGCGAACTATCTCAAGATAAGCCTGGAAGTCCTCGTTGACTGGGATTCGCATATTTTTCGTGCATGCTTTTCCTAGCAACCGCTGTCAGCGGTGTTAAAAAAGTAGCGATCGAAATCGTCCAGATGTTGATGTTCCGGCAAAAATATTTTGACTTGCGAAATGTAAGGAACGACAATAAATATATTCAAATATCATTTCCTACCTTTGTTTTTTCCCGTGGTTCTACAACTAACTTTCAAGGACGAGAAGCAGTGCCTTGGGGCATGAAAATTCAGGCCACCTAAAGGTACATTGCCGAAAATATATCGGATAAAAGTAATGGAAAGGCGGCGAAACTTTGCCTAATATTATCTGTTTGCTTCTTTCCATCTTTTTTTATGCATTTTCTACAGGTAGTTTGGGTGTCTTATTTAGCCATCCAAAGGTAATAGGATCGCAACCTGGTCCGAGGGCGTAAGATCACGTTTCGTTGAGATTCTTGACTTCTCGGGCGCCTATCAAATCGCAGCTGAGCCCACGAGCGTACGCTCCGCCTCCCCCTCCTTCTCCAACTGCCGCCTTACTCTTCCATATTGACTTGGATCCCTACAAAATCACACATAATAATACTGAAAATCTAGCGGGATGCAGGATTCCTTGAATGACTTTGGAAAATGCAATATCTTGAGACTCATTCCAAATGTTTGGTTCCCTTTTGCCTCGCGGCGATCACATACCAAACGGAAGCATGAAGGCATAGGAACCTAAATGTACTCTACTCTTTGACATAGCAAAGCAGCGAGGCCCAAATAACGGGAGAATTGAAACTTACTTGTATTTACACTTTATTTCATTCACTCAACACATTTAGACTTAATTACTGTTAACGGCACCCCGGGTTTATCAATACCACGATCGCTATTCCCTTAAACAGATTTGGTGAAACTTAAGGTGCAATGGGAGGCAATGCCCACTAAAATTTGTAAGTCACTGCACGGCCCCCGGATATCCGTTCTCAAAGCAACGGAATCTAAATCACGTTAATTATACAAATGCTTCCAGTCTATTTCATGTCGTAACTTGTAAAAAGACTAACGTAAAGCCGGGACCTCGGGTGATCCCACGAGGACATCCACTGCACGGGATCCGGATCCGAGCAGACGCCACGCCAACTGGCCTTACCTGAGTCCTTGGAACTCGTCGGCTGTGCTCATTTAATGACTTATTGAAAGGAAACATAAAAAGGAAACAGATTACATCAAAAGGATTGCGCCTGCGCGCCCGAAATCTCGAGGGCAAGGACAGCGATGCTTTGGGTTGCGGTTTTCGTAAAGTGAACGGTGAGAGAGCAAAAATGTCGCTTGGGGGACAGTTTTGGAAGCTAAAACAAGCGATCCAGCGGACGTCTTCGGACAGAAACGATGTCAAACATGACTGCACTCCCCAGTGTGCAGAGGGGGGGGGGGGGGGGGGGCGGGCGAGGATGAAGCTCTTTTATTTCCTTGCAAAATCTTGCCTTCCCAAAATTGGTGCTGAGCCTGAACCTGGTGTAAGCACCACACGCAGGCGAGGCCAAATTGCACCAAAGTTGCAAAAAAAATTATTTCAAGAATGTTGTGAGATATCCTTGTCTGAAACAGCTCCTAAGTGTTCTAATTTGTTGAAAGATTGGCTCCCCATACACTAACGTTGGTGGTGACCATAACCCAAATGCCTGAGCCTGCCTCCAGCGGCTCGATCCCCATCTTCAAGGTTGGAGAGGTGAGCCCTCCCCCCCCCCCCCCCTCCAACTTGGAAAGCCTATTAAGGGCCCATTCTTGTATATTAAGAGCCGATTCTGAATTGTAAAAGGATGATGTAAGCCTGTACAAGCTCGTTATGACCTGTCGAGGGCTCGTTCCGGTCTGTTAAGGACCTATTCTGACCAAAAGAGGGCACTTCTGAGCCTGTAGAGGGTCCATTTGACCTGAAGCCTCATTCTGGTCAGTAGAAGAAGCCCTTAGTCAACTGTAGACGGCCATTATTGGCTGGAGGGCCCATGCTGGCCTTCAAAGACATTTGGGCTTTTAGAGGGCCCATTCTGGCCTGCAGATGGTCCGTTATGAGCTGTAAAGGGTTTACCATTGGCTGGCGATGTCCCATTCTGGCCTGTATATGACTCATTCTGGCATGTAGATGGGCACATTCAGGCTCGTAGAGGGCCCATTGGTGGCTCTGTAGTTCGTACCATTGTGGCCTGTTAATGACACATTTTGCTTCGTCGAAGGCTCATTATTGACTGTGGATAACCAATTTTGCTCTATAGAGGAGTCATCCTGGCCTGTTGAGGGTCCATTCTGACCTGTGGAAGGCCTATTGCCGCATGTGGAGGATTCATTTTGGTATGTACAATGGCCGGTCAGGCTTTTAGAAGGCCCCTTATTGACTGATGACGTTTGTCAAAAAGACCTGTCCTCTCAAGGTAGTCCCTCAAGGTCACACGCGTGTTCAAAGGACGGGGAACTTCATATCACCAAAAACTTACCGCCCAATGTTAACCTTGCCAGCACCAGAATATCCATCACAGAAAGAACTAGCGCCCGACAAAAAGTTCTTCCTTCAGGGTGAAATCCGAACTCAAAAGGCGATGAACCTCATGTCACCAAAAAGTTACCGGCCGATTTTAACCTTGCAAGCATCATAACGCCCACAAGCGCAATAAATTGCGTCCTTCAAAACGTCCTGATCTCTCAATGTCATACTTCAAGGTCGAGCACGTGCTCAAAGGACGGGGAACTCCATATCACTAAGAAATTACCGGCTGATTTTAAACTCACAAACATCGAAACACAAGTGCAAGAACCAGCGCCCGTCAAGAAAGACGTTAGTCAAAACGGCCTGTCCTCTCATGACAGGCGATGACCAAACATTTTTATGGGCGATGTGGAGTTCCTTGTCTCATTGGCTTAATTTGACCGTAATGGATGACCTTGAAAGGTTAAGATTTGTTAACGGGCGCCAGTTCTTTCTGTAACGGATATGCTGATGCTAGTAAATTTAAAATCGGCCGGTAATTTTCTTGGTGATATATTTCTTAGGTGTGGACCCAGTCTTTTGAGCCCGTGTTCGACCTTGAAGGGCGACTTTGAGAGGTCAGGACCTTTCGGCGGACGCTGGCGCACCCAATGATGGGGGTTTCATGGCGATCGGTGCAGCAGAGTCCTAGATCTGAGTCGTCTGCTTTTGCATGTCAAAGTTTCCGTTCGCATCTTCGAGGGGTTTGACCTCAGGTCAGGGGTCTCAATATTGCCACATCATGGCTCACCTGATTACACGAAATCGATTGGGGAAGGTTTCGAGGCGATCGGCAGAGGTTTTTTGGAGAACGTGCGTGTTCGCTTCATACGCCGGTCTTTTTTTGCTCCGCTTTAGTCGATTTGGGCCCAACCTTGACTTTGACGGAAAGTGACGCTATTGATACGAACAATACCACGGCCTTCATAATCGCACGGTTCGATCAAATTCGCAAATCCCGAGGAGCTATTGGAAATATATGATGGGGAGAACTTTCGTGTTGTTAGCATTGCTAGTACTTGCGTCTCCATCCATTAAGAGCGAATTGCAATCAGTTAACGAAGACCAAGCCTGTCTCCATGGGTCCAGTGATTGTAAGTGCTGTAGTCCGGAGATGTGCCATAGTTTGTCTTTTCTCAGGCGCACACCCCCACTGCTGAAACGCTGAACACAATCAACTGCATGCAGTTGATTGTGCTCAAATGTGAGTTGATGCAAACCAATTGGGAGAAGACATGTTCAAGGATATTATGAAGTATGTGATGTAGTCTTATGCCATGCAGCTTTTTTGGCAGTCCTTTGGCACACAAGGCTTACCATTTAAAATGTAAGGATGAGTTGTCTCACCTTCATGAAACTTAGCACATGCCCTTGACCACAAAGCGGACCGCAGAAAATATGTTACACTGAAAACCTGGCAGCAACATCAGATCGTGGCAGCAATTATGGTTATGCATATGGTACATTTAACCTTTCAGAATTTGGCATATGTTTAGCACCAAGTTTACTGCACAGAAAGCTGAGGCTTAACAACTGTTAGTAGTTTACATGAAATTTCAGGCAAAATGCTCCAACTGAGAACATTTTTCACCTAACAAAATTGTGACTTTTCACCAAAATTTGGTCAGGCCCAAGTTCAGTGCACAAGAACACAGGATAAAGTGCACTTTTGTTAGCTTTGCCTCAGAATGAGTTTCTCATGTTAAATGACTGCTGGAGGTTATCAGTTTTCAGTATGAATATGTTGGTTTTGCTGCAGAACAATTTGCTTATATTTGATGCTACTTTCAAAATATAATTGTCAGTTGTGTCTCAGAACAGTTTACCTACATCAACTGAAATATTACTGTATCTGTGTAAACAGCTGGTGGTACTCCAGTTTTGACAGACATTGGCATTCCAGTGATGCTCTACATGCAGATTGTCAGGCCTGCAGTTATCTTTGTTGCTGATTGTGCCCTCAAACAGGGATGACCTTTAATTCAGAACTATACATGATAGCTGCAATTGTTCTTCAGCATGATTAAGTGCCTTAAAGGATGACTGTATATCTCCTATGTGCATAACAGCTCAGCATGCTTTAGTTCAGGCAGTGTCTTTGTTTTGAGACCAAGTGGCAGCTTTGTGTAGAGCAAACTGAGCTATCTTATTGAAAATGAATAGGTTGTACATAAAATGTGTGTGTGTGTGTGTGCATGCATGCATGCATGCATGCATGCATGTGTGCGTGTGTGTGTGCGTGGGTGAGGGTGTGTGCTAGACAATGTCAACTTTGTAGGACCTGCCAGTGTCAGCTTTGAGGTGCTCTTCCACCTAGTGCAGCACCAGCAGAGCGATTTGATGTGGCCATGTCTCAGATTTTACTGAGACTTGTTGCAATGTGTTATTTGATGCTTAGAATCCATCAGATGCAATTCATTTCCCTCTGACATACAGGCTGGGAGAAATGCCTCTAGGGTATAATAATTACCTTTGACATTGGTATGTTTGTAGCTTTGCCTCATCCATAATAATGCATTGAAACTACCAGAATTGTCTGTCCGGTGGCTCAGTTGGTTAGAGCGCCTGCATTCTGATCCACCCACCCGTGGCAGGGTGGGTTCAAGTCGCTTCAGGGTGCTCGCTATTTGTCCTTGGTAGGTGGCAGCGGTCGCGCTAAAAGACCAGTTGACGTCAGAGGGCAGGACGGGCCGTGCCGAGCATTGTGGCACGTTAAGCTTTCGCCACTAAATTCTGCGTTGCCTGGAATTGCGCGATAGGTTGGTGGTGGTCAGGGCTCACACAACAAGCACTGCTTACTGTGAACGCTGATACCAGAAATCCATCCCGTCAAAGGGTTCGGATCAAATTAAAAAAGGCATGCATATTTTTGAGATTGCCAGGATTTTTTCAATGGAGTGATCTAAGAAAAATCACAAAACCAATGTGGAAAGAATGACCTTGTGACAGGTCGAAGGTCATCATTTCAGCTTGACATGTTATCTTTTCAATGAGTGATTAATAAGGCTAAGGTGGGTGGAGGTTTGCGTGTCTTTGAAACTCTGGGGGAAAGGGAAAATGCTTATGACTCGTGAATGGCTTGAGATCAAAAGTTTGCCGATCATTTTACCATTTTTCAGTCCTAACTTTGCAGATAACACCTTTCATATGTGGTCTTTGAAAAACAACAATAATATTTCGGAGTTTGAGTGTGTAGATAGCTTTCCTGTGGCTGAAAATAATCGTTTTTACTAATCTTGACATCCAGACTTAACCAAAATTGGATGTGCGTAGGAATAGTTATGCAGCACTAATGCATTGACAATTACAAACATTCATTTATACATTAGTACCAGGGGTAATTTGGTGTGTGAAATTGACCTAGGACAGTATCAGTCTGTCTCTCTCTAACTTAATGTCGGTCTCTCTTTGTCTGTCTAACTTACAGATCACGGTATATATAGCCCGATACTATTTGTAGGGCTTGAAATGATGGTGATGATGGGGCTTGATGGGGCTTGAAATGATACTGATGATGGGGCCTGAATGATGGTGCGTCTGGCGTTCAAATGCTAACCAAAAATGCATTGAATATTATCACTCACTATACTTTCGGGTCATAAAACCGCTTAAACATCATAACAAAGTGATAATGCAACTGCAGGTAAATTAACCGCACGAGCTAGAACAGAGGTCACCGCACTACACTTACATAAACTTGCATGCAGCAGAAAGGACCTATACAAAACACGCCAGTTTTATCCAAGGCCTGAGGATGCGCAACGCACACTTGTGAAAATGAATGTCAATTTTGCCCCTTCTCCAGTGTCTTTAAACTGGTCTTTGTCTTGTTTTCGGTATCACTCGAATGACTTGTCCATCATCGCTGGGCAGCTGGTGCTTGATCATTGATCAGTTGCCCTGCCTCAGTTGGAACAAAACGATGGCGTTTTTGAGCTGTTGAAATCGACTTACTGGTAGCGGATCGGGCAGCCAATTTCTGGGTAATGGTCGCAACATTTGATTCTTTGCTGTTAAACAACCAGGGACTGGTGGCTATTTACTGAGTGCACAATAAGTGCATGTCCCTAGCTCGGGGAAAGTGACCCGTAACAGTGCGGCTCAGATTTTCCCTGGCGACGGCTCGTGCACCGTTCCCCACGTACTGTAACGTACCCCTGTGGGATGTGATGTACGTTATGAAATTCACTCCTAAGTCAAAAAGTCCGGCTATTTACAATTCAATCACAATTTTATATTCAATTCACTATTCACAAATCGAAAATTGATGAAGTCCGGCTATTGCGGTCACAGAGGCAGCGCTTAGGGAATCGTTCAATACGATGCGACAACGGAATGCTAAATGAAGCCACACAGCTTTATAGCACATGCCTATATCAGCCGTTCTGCGCTGTGTGGGAGGCCACTTCACCAGCTAGGTATGGGATAGCGATGAGCATAGTGCTAGACTAGCCATGCGAGGGATGATAGAGATAATCTGTATTATGTTTTCAGCGTCACAAAACTGTGGCTCACCAGGAGTGATGGAATCAAATGGCAGTGCTCAGCATGATTCCCCATCACCATCAAGTTCTTCACAAAGCAAAGAGGTAAATTTTTGTGTAAAACTGATATGCCCGCTTCAGACTTGAGCAATGTTTTTCCTTTCTTTTTGCGAGAAATCAGCAGCGAGTGTTCATAGTATTCCATATGCTATATGTACCCCTTTCAAGGCCTATCATCTCAATCGTGAATGCACACCATCCCTAAATGTATGGCTTGATATACAGAACATGTGAACGCCAAAAGGAAGCTACTGTTTGGCACGGCCACCTTCGCGAGATTTCGAGGTGCTATACTCAAATGAGCGTGTAATGACTCCCTAATCCATAACTGTTAAATAATTCGATCGTAACGGATGTGACTCTCAGATTAACCAGTAATCTAGTATTGATGGGACCCCCATGGGCTGTTAATTTTCGTATTAAACAAGACCGTTTGACCAAAACGTCCATCCCAAAACTCGCTTGCCGCTTCGTCCAAACGCCTCCCCGCGGTCATCCCAATAGTGAGTCGTCTGACTCGTACCCCTCAGTAGCTACGACGCAGCGCGACCCACGTCATCGGCGGCGGACGGCGACCAGGCGTGCCCGCTGCCGTCTACTGACGCTGGCCCTGTCCGCAGGAGGCGGGTGACGACTGGTCGCAGCCGGTGCCGGACGGCCAGTGCGGCCGCGCCGCGCGCGCCGCCGGCCCCTGCCGCCGGCTGCCGGCCGGCTGCCTCAGCTGCCAGTTCAACCGGTCGTGCGTGTACGGCGCCAACGTGACGGTGCTCTGCCGGCCGGCCGCCGACGCCTCCTGCACGGTACGCACCGCTGACGCCGCCGCCGCCGCCGCTTCCTGTCACGCTGTCGCCCGGTGCCGCGTTCGGTGCTAGGTCGAGGTCGAGGTCGATATATAGTAATCTGTGATATTGTGGTCCGTCTGCAGAAATCCAAAGTGTAATTCATATGCTACCATACATCAAGCGGACTTTGTTCTCTTTACAGGGTAGCACGCTGTTTAACAAGACGATGGTGTGCTCGTACTGTTACCAGACTCCTACCTGGCAGCACGACTGTAGCCTTTGCAACGTGATGGCACGGGGACGGAAGTATTACAGGTTTGTGATTGGGCGTTTGCTCCGTTGCATGGCTAGTATGCGGGCAGTCTCCTGGGACCCGAAGTTCTGAGACGGCATGGGCACGGGGAAGGGGGCTACCCAGTCATTCCAAAGCGGATGGGAAGGTCCGTCATTGTGGTGGTTAGTATACGGGTGTGGCGTATTTACATACGGCCATGCGATTAACGACTCACGAATATAGTTACAGACACTGCTCTTTCGCCCATGCAATACAGCTTTTTGACGTGTGCATGACAAGGGCACCACAATGTTTATGTTCATGACAAATGCGCGTGAGGAACGGGCCAGGTTTGTCTGGATGGAAACGCACGCCGCCTGGCACCGGTTGCGTGTATGCTTTGTGTAGTCAAATGACATTATTTTTACAAAGATGCTTATGGTCAGCATTCATCACAGGGGCATTCAAACACGCTACGTCAAATAGCCTTTCGGAGAGGAAGTAAACGCACACTTTTCCCTATAGGGTATGTCGGCGTGACGTCACTCTCCAGGCCGGCTATTCAGCTGCACACGGCGGACGTCGAGCCAGTCCAGCCATCCCTGACTGTCACGACCGTACCGTTTCAGAGCGAACTGCACGGTGGCTGACGACGTGCTGTGCATGGGTCGGCGCACGTTCCACAAGAGCCTGTTCTGCAAGTGGACCAAAGGCGACCGCTGGGGCACGGCGCTGGCGCTCAGCATCCTGCTGGGCGGCTTCGGCGTGGACCGGTGAGTGCTGGCGCGGCGGGCGGCGTGGACCAGTGAGTGCCAGTGCGGTTTCGACGTGGACCGGTGAGCGCCGGCACGGCTTCGGCGTGGACCGGTGAGATCCGTCGCGGCTTCGGCGTGGACCGGTGGGGCAGCGTGGACCGGTGAGCGCCGGCGCGGCTTCGGCGTGGACCGGTGAGCGCCGGCACGGCTTCGGCATGGACTGGTGAGATCCGTCGCGGCTTTGGCGTGGACCGGTGAGATCCGTCGCGGCTTCGGCGTGGACCGGTGAGCGCCGGCGCAGCGGGCGACTCCAGAGCAGGGCTAGTCGGAGCGCGCTCGCCGCGCCGCCGGAGGTGTAGTCAGTCGCTGCCGTTTAGGATAGGCTCGTAACCGAATGTGTTATTTGATAGCCTGAGCTTGTATTCCAGCATCAGATGATGATGGTTTTATTTCTGCCCGAATGCGCACCAACGATAGATTACATCCTTTCTGCGCGTTCAAGCTAGACGGAAGCCCATGTGCGGTTCGAGCGGTCCTTCGACGAAATAGCAGACAGTGATCTGGTGTGTACCACCGTTGACCGCGATACTTGTGCATATGATACCTGACGCCCGACATGTCGTACGCATGTCATATTCATGTCATATAAAACAGGCACTGGATGCGGATGCGGTTCACATTACGGCATTGACATGAGCGTTGGGTTGCAATGTGGCTACGCCATTTGTACCTTCTGCATATATGTATTTCCATAAAAATCAGAAATGTAACTCCCCTCACTGGTCTATTATGGTGTCATGTTGGGCGCTGTCTCGTTATCGCTCCTCCCAATCTGTATCGCTCTCACACCTTCTGACGGATCACCTGTTCGGTTTCAGCTTCTATTTGGGCCACTGGCAGGAAGCCATCGGCAAGTTCTTCAGCTTCGGCGGCTTGGGCGTCTGGACGCTGATCGACGTGGTGCTGATCGCCATCGGATACCTTAGCCCGGCCGACGGGTCGCTGTACATCACGTGAGCGCGCTCCACGGCGCGCCGCGGCCTATCCCCGTGGCTGGTGAAGGGGCGCGGACGATCGAGCATTGGGCTCCCACGCGGGACACACTCTGATACCGGCGGCGCGCGGGGCCAGCCCGGCCACAGGCGTGGAGTACCTGCCAACACCAACCGGTCACCGTGGTGTCCTCAGGCCCAACCCATTGTCGTGTCTCCGCAAGGTGGCGGTGCCTGCCGACCACCAGGGCCTGGTCGCAGCTCGTCGCCCGTTTAATGGTGGAAAGTGGACCCTCTGGAGGCGCTCACCGAGCGGGGCTCGGGGCTCCCAAACAGCGGGCGAGGAGAGCGGCGTGTTGGCGCGTAGAGCGGCTTGGCTGCCGTACGCCGCTGCCGTCCGGCCGGGCGTGGTCGGCCTCACGTGTTATCCGATGCCTGCCGGCGGCCAGCTCAGTTGTGTTTGTCAGTTACGTCAACACGATGTCTATCTGGTAGCGCCCACCGTATCAGCCGGGAAGGATTCGTCGGCAGCGATAAGCCTGTTCCACGACTTAAGATTATTGTTATCTTGAGGCCGGGGCAGATAGGGTGTTGCGATACTTGTGAGCTCGTGAGATGGTGGGTGGTTCGTCATGTACAAGCGCTGCTTGCCGACGCTGCCGATGTGAAGCAGGCGGTGGGGCATGGAGCTGGAATGTGTGATGTTTATGTCGCATGATGTTTTGCCAAACTGTGATATGCACCACACCGCGGTGCCCGTATGATACTTTGTTACACCCGGACCTCAGTTACTTCTGTCAAAATGGCGCCCGTCGTGCTATGCAGATGCCCGAGAATATGACGTGTGGGCCCGGCTGTCGCGTTTTCTGGTAGCCTGGCTGGTTATTCGCCCATTTGGCACCCCCTGGGAGACGTGACGAGCAGAGCTTGCAGTCACCAGACCGAGATGTTGCTGCCGTGGCTGACATGTGGGCGTTCGCGATCTATTTACGCCATATGATCTTCGTGTTCATAAACCAAGGCCTCAACAGCTATTCTTGGTCCCGAACGGTCTCATGACGAGGATTTACAGTACGTGGAAAGCTGATTTGTGCAACCCCAACTGTCTGATGCAATTGACCTTGGCCACTACCGCCCGTTGCGATCTCTGGAGGCACGGAAGCTTGTCGGTGTTAAGTTGCCATCGTGGGATAAGAGAACGCGGTAAGCGTTTACGTGTCAGCGAAACGAAGAACCGCGGTCTGCCAATGCGGCAAGACGTCCTTCGTCGCATTCTTCACATACACACTAAAGGGAGGAGCGAAACAAATGGCGTCCATAAGCTTGTCCGCATCGACGTACGCATAAAACTGAACTGGATAAATGTTGACCTGCAACTGTGTTTACGCGGTAACCCAGCGAGGTACATACATACGTGGCGCCTGCTCTAGCCGGTGACGCGGTAATTTTGCGTTGGCCACATCTGCGTTAACCTGTCACAGTAGGGGTAGAGTGCCATAGGGTCGCATAACTCACTGGAAATGACAATTTGCTGGGAAGGGATGAAGGTAGCCGTTACACTGTGCATGCAAAGAATCCTCGTGCCTGCTACCCTGGTCGGGTCACTCATTTGCTCCTGGCAGGCTCAGCAGTAGCTGTCCGCAAACTAGGGTAAACGCAGAATCGGCCTAGCACCGAGCACCGAACCTGCATCAGTGTTGGTGCATCTGGTATGTTAACGCGCATGAGATGTCGTCAGCCGCTGTAGCATGCAACTCTTGAGCGTCACGGCACACAGGTCCACTAAACGCGTTCGAGACCGTCACGTTGTATTGGTCTTGCCATTGCATCGCTCTACCGACGTACAGGCAAGAGATCGGGCGAGAACTTGTCGCGACCTTAGCCAAATCCCCTGAGCATAACCATCTTCTAGCGTGCACCCAACAGTCCCAAAGCGCTCACGCTCCTAGCCCCGAGACTGAATAGTCTCTTCCTGACCCCACAGCACCTGTCTTATACGAGGGATATGTGTTGTATTACATCGACTAGCCTTCACCCAGGATCGGAGTTTTGTGGAGGGGGGGGGGGGACACGACAATTAACATACCCACACCACGAACGGTGTCTGCCAGTCAGACATTGAGCTTACGTTCGCCGCAGTCATAATAATTGATAATCAATCGATATCTGTGTCGGCTTGGCACGGTCAACGGCGAGGTGGTGGGCTCGGTCAAAACATAGTCGAATTCCGACAATGGCGGTTCAAACACGCCATTTGTTTGTTACTGTGATCACTTCTCGTTGTTTTTCTGGAAATGTGTTCGACAATGTCTGGAAGCAGGCTTTTGGAAGTCAGTCATACGATAAATGGTGAAAAACGGATTTTGCATAGCGCAGGCCGAGTCCAAAACCAGGTTTCGTAAGAAACAAAAGTAACCAGCTCACCCATACTTGAAACCATTTCCTCACTGCACCGGTCACCTTGAAAAACCCACCACATGATCAGAGCAGCGATTGTCTTAATAATCACTCTGTTCCTGCCAACAGACACCAGTTTCTCGCGCTGTGTCAGAAAACGCATCAGAAAGACTGGTGAAAGCACACAGCCAATAAAATACGAGGGACCTACGAAATGCGGCAGCGGCGGCTAAACGGGATCAACGGCATAGGAATAACCGGGGTGGTATACGCCGAGACCCGCGCTTAGCTTTCGTCGGATACACGGGTACGTAATCACCAAAAATCAGCGCCGCGCTCCGGCAAGGAGTGGGTCTAATCACACGAACACGTAGCGCCCGGCCTGGGCATTGTAGCCCCGCGTCTGCTGGTCCGGTACTGGCTCACTCATGCTTCGCAGCGTGCTCAGCGGCCATCTCCCGCGCTGAAATACAGTGTAAATATTAGAAGAAGTGGGGACAGGATCCAACCGAGTCGGGACAGGATCCAACCGACAACGTACGGCATTCACGTCCGTAAATGTCATAGCAGCACTGCGCTGAGTAACCGAGGGTCGAAAATGGCCCAGGGCATAAAGCCAATGTCTGAATATAATAGTACTCCTCAATTACTTGACAACACGGACAAGACGGCTTAAAGTGCACCGAAAATAAACGTCACCGCAAACTTTCCTGACCACAATGCACTGCACACCTGCCGGCTTTCCAGATAACTGTCATGAATTCTCACAGAGCTGGCCAGGCGGGCATGGCACTCCATCTCCCAACCGGTGAGCGTCGTTCCTTACCCTTCTCAGCCGAGAGATCCACGTACTTCTTGGCCTTCTCAGCTACCTCGTTGGCGATGTCGTCCAGCTGGTTCTCATACTTGAGGAAGTAGGGTCGGATGACGCGCCTGTAGACGACGAGGCTGCCGTTCCAGGAGGCCGGCGCCGCGCACCACGTGAGGAAGAGACACTTGAAGAGCCAGTAGAACGGAAACCAGCTGAGCAGGATGTCGGAGAAGAACTCGACCGTGCCGAACACGGCGTACACCACCCAGTAGGTCAGCCACTGCGTGTCGTCCTCCTTCTTGGTCGACTCCAGCGCCTTAATCGAGGCGTACGCCGGGTAGACGAAGGCGATCAGGTTGCAGATCAGGCCGGCGCCGTAGCCGAACGCCAGGTACAAGATCAGGAACCCGATCGCCCCTGCAACACAAACGACGAAGCTCCGGTATCGATCACCATTGTCTGCCGGCGACCGAAGGGATCAATGGGCCGCGAATCGAAATGAGCCGTATCGTCACGCCTTGCATTTCAATTTGAATGTCGCTTATCGAAAAAAACCAGCCTAAATTACTGCCGCCCTTCATGGCTGCAAGCGTACGACAGACAGTAGCATTCACTGATGGCTGATCCGCTTATATCGCTTGACATGAACACGGGGAATGAAACATTCCAGCATAGTCAACGAAAGAAATCGTGACCATGAGAAACCTATGTTACTGTGTGGGACATAGGCCCGTATTTACCAAGAAGTCTTAATGGTCTGTGCGACAAAGGGCAAACACGTAAGCAAAATTAGGGCAAGACAAAGCGAAGTCTGTTTAACGGGTGAAATATGTGCCGTACCGGACCAGACTGCAAAATGCGTCAGGATTACAGTAGTGTTATGGCACAAATTCCCCGTGTACACGGGACATATATCAGCGCATAATCGTATATATCAGCAGTACAGGACAACTACATGACTGACTTCCATAAACTTTAGCTTGCCAGCTAAGGGCTAGTTGGAGAAAATAGCACTGTCAGAATTAAGCCACGTTCTTCGCAGACATCTGTACCCAAACAATTCATCCGCGAAATCGCATTACCACCATATGGCTTCTTTCCAAAGGCTAACTGCGCCCCACGGCAACCCAGCTAGCTGCACTAGTCGCCGCCGGTTCCAGCTCGTGGACTCGCGGTCTGTCGGCGCGTGACCTCGGGCCGGTCCGGTGCCGGGCGCGCGCGGAGCGGACGCGGCGGTCGTCCGCCCCGGCCGGTCCCACGCCGGCCGGCTGGCGGCGGGCCGGCGTGCGGCCACGTGGCCCGGCCGGCCGACACGCGTCGTCGAACGGCGGCGACGTAAACGACGGCGAGACGAGTCACCGAGGGCACCGGGCCGACGACGAGACGGGTCACCGAGGGCGCCGGCATGACGGCGAGACGAGTCACCGAGGGCGCCGGCCCGACGGCGAGACGAGTCACCGAGGGCCCGGGCCGACGGCGAGACGAGTCACCGAGGGCGCCGGGCCGCGACGGCGAGATGAGTCACCGACAGCGCCGGCCCGACGCAGGACACCGCCTCCGTCAGCCGGTGTAAGGATAGGTTGTAACTTGCAAAAGGGGCACCGTTAAGGAGGATCAGCCGTTCGTAATCGACAAAAACTTCCCCGCAATTACCTTAATCTGCCTGTCTGTGTCTGTGTCTGTTTCACTTTGACTCATTCACTCGGCAAGTTACAACTGCTGCAGGGAATGACTGAGCGATCACCTGACTGGGCGAACACCCAATCGCATGAAAAAATCTATACAAACCATGGTGAGCAACTCGACTAACCTGTCTGCTTGGCAAGTGCTCGCACGTCACACAGATTTGTGTGCACGATGCACTGTTGCCCACAGGATGCAAGAACAGTGGTACCCATGTTCCAGTGTTTTAGCATAAAAGTGTCATTCTGAGCCAGAATGTACAATAGTGCAACTCCGCACTCCACAGAACTCCCGCTGCAGCTGGCCGGGGATGACTCAGTCTTCCACGTGGCTTTTAGCGGCCGGCCACGTCAGCAAAGCCACCGTTCACCGGGCCAAGCCGGGCGACAGCTGTGACCGACAGATACCGTACCCACAGGTGGCATCGCGAGCCCCTGACCAGGGGTGTAGCTTCCAGTTCAGATGGGCGACCTCCAGCTCCCGCCACCACACACACACACACACACACATGCGCGCGCACACACACGCACGCACACACACACCCATACACCAACTTGGGCTGCAAGTCCCACCCTCATCTTGGAGCAGGGGGTCATATCAGGAGAGGATCTGTTTGTTGATATATTTTGAGGCTAGGTGTTGACATTTTTGTGACTGTTGAGACAACCTCGACTTATTTTGCGGCACGACACCCCTGCCACTAACACAGCAGGTAAGGGTCATCTCCGGCTCCCATGGTGACCCAGTGACGGCGCGCGCGGCGCCGCGCGACCTGCCGGCACCCAGCGGGACGACCTACCGTAGGCGGTCAGGTTAGCTGGCTTGGAAGGGCTGAAATCGTGCTCGTCCAGCCACAGGGGGATCGCCATGGCGGTGCGGCGGCGGCGGTGCGGCGGCGGTGCGGCAGCGGCGGCGACTGGCCCGGTCCGGCTTGCCGCTGCCGCCGTCGCCGCCGCCGCACCGTCGCCGCAGACCGGACGGCAGCGGTCGTCACGCTCTCGACGCCGGCGGCTGCCGTCTGCCGGCTGCATCGACCCGCGCCCGCATACCGCCCTGACAGGGAGGTCACGGACCGAGCGTGGAGCGCCGGCACCGCATGGCGTGCCCGCTGACCGATCGGCCGCCCCCCCCCCCCTCTCGAAAAAACAACGAAAATTGACCACCGAATGATGTTGACCGCCTGTTGGACAAATGTTATTATATAGCCCTAGCACCTGAGTGCGTCGTAAAGTACCAATGAAGACTAAATAATGTACGAACGGAGCCAACGAAACACCAACTGACAAACGATCCACCTACCTCCTGACCAACGATCTACCGGCGTACCGACCACGATTTTCGAGAAGACTATTTACCTATGGACCGACCGATGAACAAACCCCCGACGCGCTGACTAACCAACCACCGGTCGACAAACCAGCGATCAGCTGACGGACGATTCACCGAGCAGCAATCAGCTGACGGACGATCCACCGGCCAGCGGTGGAGAAGCCAATGTTAAGATATCCAGAGCACGTCAGCGGCATACCAGCGACGGTACCCTGGGCGGACTATCTACGCGGCTTGAGGGTGAATGTGACAGGCTCTGCCCAATAAATAACGCGAGTCTAGACCATCACCGAACTACAAAAACATCGCCAATCGAGATCACTGCTTCAAAAAATCCATTCGGCGACTAAACACTTTGTTCTTCAAAACATGTTTCTCAGCTGCTCATGTTCTTCACAGATTTTCTTGAGTCTCTGGCTCCATACTCGGGCTAACATAAACATTGTCGCAAGGAAGATGCGTCCAAAAAGATAAATGGTTGCCCACATGCCACAAATTCACCCAGATACACAAATTCGCTCATATAGCTCCAAACAGTTCCGGCAGCTTACAGGATAATAAGAGAAAAACAAACACAGCGGTTTGACTTCCTTAAGTTGAGCCAGGGCAATGATTTTCGCTCATTTATGAAACGTTGCTTGCCCCAGGATCGGCAGGGAAACAATGAATGCTACAGTAACCACAGACCAGGAGTTCAAGTGAATGCTGAACATTCACACTACGACTCCAAAAGGAACTCATCCCTAGTAAAATGCTCCACCAATGCAACGGTGTACTGAAACACCCAAAACCAGCGCCAAGGCATTTACCTGCCAGCGGCTTTTTGTGTTTCATCACGAACGGCTTGGCCGTCCGCAAATGTTCACTGGCGACTGGCACGTGCTTGTCGACCAGCTCCTGGACCACGTCGTACACGGCCTCCACTCGGGAGTCGACTGAGCGGGTCGTGACCTGGGTCGACCCGGAAGATGGCCGCCGGCGGCTGTTCGGAGCTCTCCGCGGACATGGCGGTACGCACACACACACAGGGCGCGACTGGCGCGGCCGGCGGGCGCGCGCGCGCGCCGGCACAGCTGGCTCCAGCAGGTGTGGGGCGCACTTGTGACTCGGTGATTGTTAATTGACGAGGCGCTAGGCCTGAACTCTCCCGCAGCACACAGGGCACGTGCTTCGAGCTGGCAGTGCGCGAAGGCCTGACGCAGACGCAGCTCGGGTAGTGGTGTCAGACGCGGTGTTGAGAGTGTATCGGTTGGTTTTGTGATGCATCCTGGGTGATTAGTCAGGGGTCGCGTGCTTAGCAGTGTACACACCTATAACAGCCTTTGGCTTACATGACAGAAGCACTGAATACCTGCATGACCATGCAACTGCCATGGCCGCATTACATGTCCTTTTTTATGGCCTCGCCTTTTTTATTCCTTTTAAAGATTTAATCCAACTATTTTGAATGGATGAATTTCTGGGATAAGATTTTCCGGCCGAGCAGTGCTTGTTGTGTGAGGACTCACTCCTCCTCCTGCCATCCGATCGGGCAATTCCAGGTCAGCGACAGAATCTGGTGGCGAAAGTTTAACGTGCCGCAATGCTCGGCACGGTCCATCCAGCTGGCGTCACCTGGCCTTTGACGCAGCCGCTGCCACCAGCCGCAGGCCATGTCTTAACGGGAATGTTTAACATCTGAGGATGTTTAGGCCAGCTTCCAGATTTGATGAAACAAGCTCACTGTTAACTGTCGGCATACTTTTTAAATGGAAGAGACTTCCCTAGACAGCACAATTATCGACAGGGTAAAAAACCGGCATGTGAAACAGACACACACGTTCTCAGAAACGCCTTGTCCGATCGCTCATCAATTTCGTGCCAACCTTCACCAATCGATTTCGCGCAATGAGGTGAATCACGGGGAGACAATACTGAGATCTGACCTGATGTCAAACACTTTAAAAACGCGAAAGGAAAATTTTACATGCAAATAGACAATTCGATCTCAGAGCCCACTGCACCGATCAATGTAAAACCTTCACCATTGGGGGCGCCATGCCTGATTTCCCTTTGAAATTGAAAATTTGGTGACCCTATGGCAGGTCAAAGTATCACAAATTCCAAATGTTTTGCTTGCAGACAGCTCATAACCTACCGAGCCGATCGCTGCCCAAAATTCACCATTTGATGCACGGCACGTGATTCCCTGTTGCAGGTGATAATTTGATGACCCTAGGTCAGATCTTAAGTCATCGAAATTTCACAAATTCCACAATTCTTCCTTGCAGACAACCCTCAAAATCTACTACGCCGACAACTGCCAACTCTTCCCATTCAGAACGAAATTTACACAGATTCTTTGCTGGAACTGTAAGTATGGTGCCATTTACAGGTATGTCTTTTTCTTTCATGTTTATTCACAAGAAAAAATGCAGCTGGGTTAGGCTGGTCTCATTACGTCAAATTTCTGCTTACCAGAGGTGTGCTGAAAATCACTTGCAGAATTGTACATGGTGTCGCCGCGATTTACAGATACGTGGCCGCGGAGCACGTGATGGTGCGTGGCTGTCAATGTGTGTGGTGTGCGAATGCCATTTTGTCGTGACTATGTGCATGCGTTCTCAGTAGTCTTTTGTTGGCAATCCCCCGCATTACTGCATTCTGGGTAGCTATGCTGCGACGTCATCAATGAGTAAGTCACATGGCACAAACGCTACGGCGGCATGCAAGTGACGTTCTTCGCCGCCTTTAACATAAATATATCTACAAATTCAATTTTCGACCAAGCACGCTCAATAAAGCATTTTCAGCTGAGAAATAAAGTTGGCTTGCACCACAGGTACAAAAATTATTATTCAAGTGTGCTTCCAGCCTGCCCCGACAGAGAGATGGGGTAACCCATTCACCAGTGATTTATCCCGAAGGACGCAAGCCGGAAGTACTTAGAAACGGTCTGTGTAAGAGAGTATAACATACAAAACAGCAATAACAACAACATAAGGTAGGGATAAGATGCGGCAGGCCAGACGGGCTCGCAGCGCCCTAGGACGCCCATCGAAGTCAGAATGCCCATCCTGAAGCCTTAAGGGGAGCGTCGACAGCGTGGCTGGAGGGTTGACCTGCCCTTATCGGAGTGGTAAGTGCTGAACCTTGGAAGGCTTCAGTACAGCGCGTGCCATTTCAGTTCAAGCTCGCACATTTTCCTGTAAAATGGGCCAATTTCTGGCAAATTTTGCCATTTTTGATAGTCAAGGAACGCGGCCCATATATCAGCTCCGAAAAGTCTACTAGGGTTATATTAGGGCGGTCGGGGTATTATTCTCTGCGCACCATTTTTGTCTCATCCTTCCAACATCATAAATCTGCAAGCTAACCAAAACATAGGAAGGTCATAGCACAGCAACAGCGAAATTCTTGGCACCTGCCGTCCTCACATTCCTGTTTTCACATTTCACTCCATATAGATACTGCAGTGCGAAGATATATGCGCAATCATTGCCCATAAATGAGTTAAGTGTAAACGTTACATACGACAGCTTATTTCTGACATACAAATATTCGCTTTACAAAAAATATATTACACATAATATTCAGAGGCATCGGCCACGACCAATATGGCGCGGGTGACGGAATTAGAAAACGTGGTTGAGTAGGGTCCAGTTTTAAAATTAGATCATAGTACTGATTTTTCTTTAGAAAGTTTGAAATGCACAATTGCAATACCTATTGACATCACATTACAGTCAACATGTAGAACAGCAGTGCTATCTAATTCATTTGCGAAATCTTCGTTTTTGATCATGTACTAGTATCTACCAATCTTTTCGTAGCAGCAACCAAAAACCATACTGCGGGCTACCAGACCCTAGTCCGCTGGTGGCGCCACGTCTGCGTGGCCTTCTGCGTTGGTAGCCTTGTTTTGTTGGTTGCTGATTCCACGTCACTCAGAAGTCCGTCGAATCCAATGAGCCTGGGCATGGCCTCAACAATGACGCATGGCTTCACGGCATACATTGCGACTGCTATGTACAGCCCATCGAGTGGTGAAGGTTTGGAGATGATTTGAGCAATAGGTGCTGAATAAGCTGTCTACAGGTAAGAATTTTGGAATTTGTGAAAGTTGGCGACTTCTGACATGGCCCAGGGTAATTCAATTTTCAAATGCTAGAGGAAATCAGGCATGGCGCATCCAATGGTGAAGACTTGGCAGCGACCGATTCGGCAGGTCCTGAGCTATGGCTTGTCTACAAGCAAAATTTTTGAAATTTGTGACATTTGAAGATTCTTGTCCTGACTTATGGCTACCAAATTTTAGGCCGCAAGAGGGCATCAAGCATGAGGCATCCAAAGGTGCGGGCTTGACAGCGATCGGTTCGGTAGGTTGTGAGCTATGAGTTGTCTGCTAGCAATAATTTCGGATTTATGAAATTTGAACTTGTGATGACCCAAGGTCATCGAAGTTTCAACTGCAAGTGAAAATCAGACATTGCGTATCCAATAGTGAATGTTTCACGGCCATCGGTGCAGCAGACTCTGTGATCTGAGTTGTCTGCATTTGCACGTAAAATTTTCCCTTCGCGTTTCCGTGGCGATTAACTTCTGGCCACATCTCGCTACCGCCTCCCCACGACTCGCCTCATCGCACGGAATCGATTGGTAAGGGTTTCAACGCGATCGAACGGACCATTTCGGAGAACGCTAGTGTCTGCTTCATATGCCGGTTTTTTAGACCTTACAACAATTCTGTTTAGTAAAGATGTTGCTCAATGTAACAAAGTTTGATTACGTCATCATAACTCGCATAACATTGAAAGCCAAGTGACGGCCGTTGTATCTGGAAATGGCGTTCACGAACGCCAGATATTAATGCCTCAACAAGTATATTTCTCTTGGCCCTGATCACTGCAATGCATATGAAATGGTAAGACTTGGATGGCATTGTTATGATGTCAAGAAAGACACAAGATGACTTTGAGATGCTCTCCCAATTATCGCGGGCGTGCAGCCCAGGACCAGATGGGCTCAGAGCTTAAAAGGGGCAGGAATGTAAATAACACCGAAAGGTTCTTGAGATGGCTACTTCAATTCAAAACCCCCAAATATATGTGGAACACTTCATTTAATGGCAAATAACAGGTGCCTGCAGCAACATGAACACACCCCATCACAGGTGGGTGGACTAGAAGGCATGCACCATAACCAACTGAGCTGATGTGATGGGCCAAGTGTAAATTGAATGTCCTTAAGTCAAACTACAACCCATGACACTGTTAATTTTCCTTCCAACCTGTTGTATTGCATCAGACAGAGACACACAGTGATTCCTGCTTTAATGTCTTGCTGAACAGATATTACTGCCCTCTTGAGACAAAAATATGGCATATTCTTGTTGGGGGAAGACGTGAACTATCCAAAGTGTCTAGTGTTGATCATCATTATTGAGAGGCCTCATCCAGTCAGGAAGCTGTATATAAAAATGTGGATTTTTCACTTCAAAGAATGGACAAAGGGTACTGGGAGACAAATACCATTATAAAGGACATAACAATTATAATACAGGCTTAAGTTATAGTTACAGAACCAATACATATCCAAAGTAAGCCAAAAAAATTTGAAAACCATATTAATGCAGGGCAAACAGACATTAACAACACTGAGGGTAAGAACTCAAAATCACAAAAATTTCATAAAAGCCTTGCTATATGAATATATGACAGCTTGGTTGGATGGAGTGCCTGCCTCCTGATCCACACGCACCCACCAGTGGCAGGGCAGGTTTAAGTCACTTTGGGCTCTGGCCATTTGCCCTTAACAAGCATGACCTGAGGCCCATGGCAGTGGGCCCCAGGTCATGGTGGTTGCTCTAAAGGTCAAGTAACATCAGAGGGAGAGGGCAGGACAGACCCATGTAGAATATAGCTGCATATCAAACTTCTGCCACCAAATTCTTCTGTCAACTTGAAATTGTGCAATTGGATAGTGGAACCCAGGGCCTAAATAATGGGCACAGCTTTGTATGAGTCCTAGTCTCAGATATTTCTCCACAGAAAAACTTGCATTGAATCTTTTAAGAAATATGCAAAGTCTTCTCTGCATGAAAAAAACAGTAACTTCCATGACAACAGCTGTTCAATTGCAATTATCACTTTCAGGCAATGTACATAAGAAATGCTGGTAAATGACACATCATGGTTTGTTTCAAAAGTCATATGCTAACATGATGCTTTTCTTGAACCACTGACATTCCAGGCAACAGAGTTTCAATTATCTGTCACAACCACACATCTAATAATACTGCTACACCTAACAGGTTTATCACAATGGCATTATTGCAACAAATTCAGTGCTCACAATGCGTAAACCAGTGAGCTGTGAGTTTGGTAGTCACCATTAAATTCAGCACACATAGATCTTATGTGTGAAGGATGATGAAGCCAGGAAGGTACAAAATTTGCATCAGTGCTATGTTCCATTTTCAAATATTGCGCTCACAGCAATACATGACGAATACGTGTGCTTACCTATCACGAGATATAACCGCCGCACACCGGTCTTTTCCTCTAGCATTGCCAAGTAATCCGTAAACACATTCTTCTCGTGAAGCCTCTTTTCCAAATCATCCTTCCAGTACTGCAATCTATCTGTCATGGTAGTAATTATGCACAACCTTCCCGATGCCTGCACCTCAATGCCCCCTTCCGACCAAATGGACTGCGCCCGCCAAATAACCGATTTATCTTTGATGTGTGGTAAGCGTTTACGTAGCGTTGGCACGCAGCCAGAGCGCGCCACCTCCACGTCACTACTGAGCCTTTTTCGCAAACAATTGGTTATGGACTAAATGACTTAATTAACTTACTGACTGGCCATTGCTTCGAGCCTATGAACCTGATCGCTTCCAATTCTCCAGCATGTCATGCCAGATAAGCAAAAAATTTGTTATATTTCGGAAGATGGCACACTCGCAGGCCACCAAAAAGCCTACAACTACCTAAAGTTGACTATTGGCGAGTTTAAATTTTAAATAAAGAATGTAAAGGTTGACAGATATCTGAACAATTTTGCACGAAGCGTCTTTGATCTAAACAGTAATACTAAGCTAAAAACCCGGAGACTCGAACGGCGCATAAAGAGCTCTTCGATGCTGCTCGTTAATGCTGGGTCAGTGGGCATTTCTAATCAAATATATATAAAGAGAGAGAGAGAGAGAGAGAGAGAGAGAGAGAGAGAGAGAGAGAGAGAGAGAGAGAGAGAGAGAGAGAGAGAGAGAGAGAGATATATATATATATATATATATATATATATATATATATATATATATATAAAATATATAGATAAAGAGAAGATGTATATATATATATATATATATATATATATATACAGACGTGCGTGCGTGCGTATGTGCCCGTGTTAGCATAACCAGAACATCAGGCACAAAATCCAAGTGACCTGTCCCCTTATGACGACTTCCACGGATCTGCCTCCGCCAAATCATTTTGAGAAATTGACACCCAGGCATGGAGCACGTATTACGTATTCGGTAGGGCGAACTTGATTGGACAAGAGTTTAACGGGTGTGGAATGCGCTGACTCGGGCAACCTAACACAGCCGAACCGTTGAATCAACTTGTCCTCGAGACGTACATCACTACGCAGTTCTAGGCGGCCACCATACCGCAGGAGGCAGATGTAGGCAAGCGCACCACAGAATGCATCATGCACCCTGCAGAGGCAGAACTTCTGTTGCGGTTGTAAGACGTGTCTGTTTTAACAGACATTGTGTCAAGGCTTATGCGCCTCCCGGTGTATGGCATATGTCGTAAGGTGGGGAGCGGTGGGACACGTAGGAAGGGACCCCGCAACAGGAGAATTCTGAAGGTGTCTGGGCGGCAAAATAGGTGCTAGGCAATCTGAGGGTTGGTTTGAGATTCGTTTACTCATTGTCGTCAACTGGCTGTCCTGTTTGTCCCGTGGTCACGTTCAGAACAATGCATGTCCTCACACTGGCTTGCCTTCAGTCAGCAGTTTGCTCTGGTTTGCTTGTGCGAATGGTCGATATGCATGGACAGCCAGCACATGTGATCAGTGGTGGGATCCGTGTCCGAAGGGCCCATCTAAACACTTGAGCCTGAGAAGAGCTTATCTCAGATCCCACAATCTCCATCTTGTACCATGGGAAAGGCCAAAGTTTTGGTAAGAAAGGGGAGGGCGGCACACAGCCTGATAAAGGGTTTCCGGTGAATCGGCACCCCACAGGATGGCCAGATTCGACCTTTTTTATTCGAAGACCGCCAGATTTCTTCATTTTGGCATCATCATGCCGACGAGTGCATTCGTTGATGGGCCCAGTGCATTGAACACCAAGGGGAACCCTTACCTCTCACAGACAGGGAGCCCCGTGAGTATCTCATTAGTGGGGCCCATTGCCTTCCCCGGTCAGGGGATAAAGGGGATTTCCACTCAAACCCGCCTCCCGGGTTACTTGCAGACTGCCGTTCTGGAGACACGGTGGCCGGGGCTCCCTGGTCGATCAGGGGGGCAGCAGAAGGATGCATCATGCAGCGGTCTCCCTCCCTGACACGAAAGGTCCCAGGGCGGTGCAGTTGAGAGGGATCAACGCAGAGAGGCCTCATTGACGCCAAATTATCGCTTACCAACACAAGGGGTCTTATAATTGACGAATAATCCCGGTTCGGTTTATCGGGCCCCTGACCGAAATCAGGTGGAGGTCCGCGGCCTACGTTCAGGTCTTGGGTCCGTATCTGACACGGGGCCCTTCCACTGCCTCATTATGAGCCCTTGTATTGTCATTTAGCTTCTCTTCTTTCATTATCAAGCGGGCTCGGTCAACTTAAGAGGCTCCCTGGCGGTCGGGGTCACGTTCCTGTCCCTATTCAGAAAATGGAGCCACAACTGACTCGGGGACCTTGCCGACATAGGATCCCCTGTTAAGCGTACTGTGGCCCCCTGACCAACACAGCGGTTCCTCATTGCGTCAAGGGCCCAGACCAGTACAAAGGGTCCTCTGACTCACAATCGCGGGCTCCAGGATGCCCCCGGCTTTGGAAATGGGCCATGGGCCGCCATGAAGCAGACTGGTCGAAAATCGGGGTTGCGGGTGGACTGGCGGGCCCTCATTGTGCCCCGGGGCCCAAATCGACGTAAGAAACCATTTGATGAACATTTGCAGGCCGAGATCCCTTGATACAGCCTCTGACCAACTCTTCGGGCCCCTAATCGGGCCCTTGATCGTCAATCCCGAAAAGCCCTAAGGGCTAATCTGGACCAAAGAGGAGACATGCGCCCTGGTGCCCCCCCCCCCCCCCCCCCCCACTGGCCTAAACCTCGCCTTCGACTTGTGATGGGCTCGTCTCAGGTCTGAAAAGAGCCCATTCGCAGATAAGGAATGCCAAGGTAAGTTTAGGCCTGGAGATGACCAACCTCCCCTCAGGAAATGCCTATTGTAGACTCAGAAACAGCCACATTCGGTTAAAAACGGCCAAAGTTAGGTTCAGAAAGGGGCCTCTCAGGTCTGAAAAGGGTAATAGTAGACCCAAAAGGGCCATAATTAATCAGGGAACTACTCACTTTAGTTTGGTAAAGTAAGCATTACATGTGGCGAAAAAAAACTTATCATCTTTTAGACCCCGGCTGGGCCCACTGGTCAAAATCAGAAATGGCACACGTTAGATCTGGGCAGTGTCATTTTGTCATCCCAAGAAAATGCACAAGTCAAGTCCGGAAAGGATCAATTTTTGTTCCTAGGCTTGAGAGTATTCTATCCCATTCCTGCGAAGACCTATGAAGGGATAATCTCATCTTAGGCCCTCGTCTTGTCTCGGATAGTGGTCCCTAGCTGGTTACGGACTTGGTTTGAACAGACCCGAAGAGGGGCCGGAGGGTCCCTCTTCTTCGGTACCAAAAGTCAAGGACCGGACTGAACTCGGACACCCTTTCAAGAAGTACAATCTATCATCATTCTTTCATTCAAGTACATTCTTAGTTCAAGTACATTCTTTCATCATTTTCATTCTTTCATCTTTCAAGAAGTACATTTTCTCCTCTTGACATCGAAAGTGGCAGTCATTCGGTTTTTATTTCTCTTTAAACCCCCAACCAAGCATTGATGGCAGTAGCCGTGTGCTACCTGAAGAATTATCCACGCCAGGTGGCAGGTCGATCGCACTGTCGGAGGGAACAATAAATAAAACAAATGGCGAGTGCCCGTTCCAGTAATACATCCTCCTTGCTCATGCCCCGGTCTATGGAACTGATCGCTGCTATACCTTCATCGGTTGATGCACCATGTTTTACAGCCTGTTCTTTCCAGAACACGGTGACTTTCGTCGTGGTCAAATGTCTTTCAAAACATCATCAAGCTAAAAATTGGTTGCAGACATCCCCATGCTTTGAGCGTATGGAACCGATCACCACAAACACTTACTAATTAATGCACTATGGGCGAGAGTTCGGCACCCATATCACTTCCGGAACATGGTGTTATTGGATCTGGTCGAATGACATAAAAAGATACCCGCGCCCGCAAAATTGCCTGCGGACAACTTAATTTCCATCAGTGTTATACTCATGGCGAAACTTTCCGTATCATGTCATTTGTGTTTGTATTTCTTCTGGAAACCCTCCACGAGGTTTTCAGGTATTCAGATGGTTACAACGCTCGCTTGCTTCGCTTTGTTGCATCGCTCACTCATACCTCACAAAGCATTACAAGAAATGTTATGAAAGGCGATGCTACGGAATACACTAGGAAATACGATACTGCGATCTACGCTGTCAAATATGTTTCTATAAAGTACGATGCGTTAAAATACAGTACAATGGAGTGCGGTGCTATGCAATGCGTACGAAGTCAAACGAGGAATAATATGCTCCAAATGGAAAACAGAATGTGCCAAACCACGCGCACGCACACACGTGTGAATGAAAAAAGCTTCCAGGCACATGGGACCCGCACTGACGTGGGAAGATCACACACAAATATGCAATTGACATGCAATCATACACGCAACCAGCACGGGCTTAAAACTGAGGCGCATGACCTTGATATTTGCGTTATGAGATGCGAGTTATTAATTCCTTAAAAGTCAGAGGTAAAAACACCTTGGTGATCGAAGGCTTTTAAGGAATTAATAACTCGCATCTCAAAAAGAAAGTATCAAGGTCATGCGCCTCAGTTTTAAGCCCGTGCTAGTTACGTGTATGATTGTGTGCCAATTGCATATTCGTGTGTGATCTTACCACGTCAGTGCGGGTATCATGTGCTTGGAAGTTTTCTCATTCACATGTGTGCGCGTGCACGTGGTCACATGTGTGTGCGTGCGCCCCCCCCCCCCCCCCCCACGACCGGACAGTGACTCCGTGACGGCTGACTCGCGACGGGCCTGTAATTATGTGCTCATCGGTGAAGCACCAGCCTCGTAATGCCGGCTTTACGCGAACAAAGCAGTCATCGGCGGTGCGAGGGCAGGTTACACACTGCACCTTTTTGCAACCGTTGATCACTGGCCCCATTAGCGTCGAATGCCCCCCCCCCCCCCCGTAGGTCCGTCCCAGGTGACTCGCGCTGGACCACCACAGCAGGGCCGGTGCGTCGTCAAGTAGCAAAACGTCGCACCACCGACCGTCGCGGGGCTAACGACCAGCGGTTCTCATGCGGCCGCAGTAGCCAAATGACGCGCTGTTTGTCGGGCTAAGGCTGTTTTGATGACAGTGGTCGGAAGCACCGCAACGTATTATTACGTCGCTGAGAATCGTCTTCCATGTCATGCATTTACACTGTATACACCAGAAATGTTGTTTACATTGCAGCTAACGTTCGCTGCAGCGGCGCAAGGGCGAGACCGTACACAGACGTGACTACAACCCTGGCGAGCCGGCAGCGATGCAAAAAC